ATACTGAATGAAAGAAGGTAGGTGTGAGTAACAGAAGAATGTGATAAAACGAACAGGGGATTGAGATGATCTTTTGATTGAGACATTTATGCATAGAGTATGAGAAACGGTTCTTTTCAACTGCTGCTTACGATAACTTTGTGAGAGAACTGCAGGAAAATTGAAAAGGGTCAGTTGAAAAAATCGGATGAAAGCTCTCATACATAATTTCAATGTGTTACAATCTCTTCAAGGGTATGGATGGTGCTATATGGAGCCCCAACTTGATGCTTGAAACGCTTTAATAAGGGCGGATTATTTTATCATGGCATGTGCATCAGGCTTGAGAATTTTGAAGCTGTAGAGAGTGTTTCTGACTGGTTTAGACAATCTGGGCTCGGCTTCGTTTGCTTTACTCTTCTTCGGACACATTTGGCATGGTGCTAGAACCTTGTTTAGAGAGATGTTTTTTTTTCTGGTATTGATCCAGATTTAGATGCTCAAGTGGAATTTAGAGCATTCCAAAAACTTGGAGGTCCAACTACAAGAAGACAAGTAGTCTTATACAATATGCTTTGTTACATGTTACTTTTCCATGCATCTTTACTTACAAAACCTGCAGCCTATGGCTGGCATGCAAAGAGGTCGATATAGCAGGACTGAAGCTAGATGAAGAAACAAAGTCTCAATTGTTGTTGCAATTAGAGGAAGAAAAAGGTAAGGCTTTTCAAATTCCAGCTTTCAGATCAAAGTTATATGCTTGGTTGCCTTTTACATTCCATTCTCTCTGTGTCATTCCGTTTGGACCCAAATTTACACAATCGGCCCGTTTAATCAAGGTCATTGAGTAAGCATAGTTCTCAACCGTCGGATGGAAAAAATGAAGATATTTTTGTAAAAGGATAATATTATGGTTTTTACCATAATAATCTTTTAGTACGAATTATCTGCATCTTCTTAAACCAAATAAATGGGATGCAAATCATAACCTCAACGTAGAGGCAAGCAGAACAATCCAAATTAATTTGGATTTGTTAGCAGTGTACTATGTGAATTAGAGCAGCTCGGCTTGGACTCTTCACATGGCATAACATGAATCTGCGAGTTTTGGATAATGAAAACCTAAGTAGGTTAGGTTGTTTGATGGATGTTTTCAGACGGATAGGCTTTTGGATGGGTGATGGGTTGGTTTTTATTAGCTTTGAAAAGTCAACCATTTGAAGATAAGCTTTAAGCCTATGCCACGGATCAATTTGAATTTTAGTTGGACTCCACAATTATCTAGCCGTGTCATGCAAATATCAACCCTATAAATACAAGGCGCTGTGCAACGTAAAAATGACCTCCAACATAACACACAAACTATCATGCGCAAACCTTCGCTCTACGCGAAACCTCTCAAACATCTTGAGATTTTTTATTTTATTTTTCACTAACACATATTCAGTTTGCATAAACAGCACTGTGAAGGCAACCGGCAAGCATCTTCAGTTTGGATAAACAGCACTGTTGCCGTAGAATCAGCCGACCATGAAGCATCTTCAGTTTGGATAAACAGCATTGCGACATGGCCGACTGGTTATCTATCCAAGTCTCGGTCGAGAAGGATTTTCGAATCCTTATTGGCAGAGGTCATCTCATTAGCTTTTTCGGCAAAGTGAGGTGTTACAAGTTACTACATTCGGCACATTGAAAGTCGAATTTGATATTGAACTTCTCAGAACTAGCGGCCTTGTCTTCAGGCTTTAGAACCCGGAGGCCGAGAGTGTTCCTTCCTCGGCCGCAGTCGCGAGATTCAGAAGTCATCAGTGCACCCAACGCAACATCAGCAAATTTTACTCCTCGGCCGACGAGTTGGCACGCCCCGCATACAACCGAATGACGTAGTTAGCTTACTAATAACTCGGCATGCGCGTCACGTAGGCTTAGTAGTTTTTAGGGTCAACATTTTGGCACGCTCAGTGGGACCCAGTGCTAAAACTACGAAGTTCACATGATATATCAAGATCTCAATGAGGGTGAGATTTGGTGCCTATTAAAGGAAGGTGTCGAGAAGCAAACAAAACTCCTTGAGGAATACTGTAGATTTTTTGAAAAAAGGCTAGAGGCTGGGGGGGTAATTTTTCGCTCTGGCCATAACCAATATTTGGCCTAAGAAAATTGTTAATTTGGTTGAAGAACAAAAGCCACCTATTTTTTCGGTCGAGACTGAAGGTGTGGTAAGCCTAGAAGAAAATGTTCAAGTTTCTGAGCCAAAAATTGACTCAAGAAACGATTCATCAGATGAGTGTTCCAATGACGAACAAGACCAATACACGACTTCAGACCATAAAACCACATCAATTGATATGGTAATTGGAGACATGGTTTTAGATGCCGAAACCATGGCAGTCGATATGGTTTTTGGCAATAAAGCCGGTATGGAGCAATCTTATTTGGCTCAGTTGTTCGAGTTAAAAGCCAAAATTGGCGAAATTATTATGCTTGGGGGGCATAATAATTGTTTAACACATTCGGCAGCCGATAAAAAATCTTTCTCCAAGCCGAACATATTTGGAGATGATTTTTAATTCGGCTTTGGAAAATCTCAATGTGAAAATTTTGATGTAAAAAGATCTCGGCTCGAAATAAAACATCGTTGGCCTCCTCCACTTTATAGTTCGGCCACTTTTGTTTTCTTTTGCTAAATATATATATATATATATATATATTTTTTTTCTTAGCCATTCAGCCATTCAGCCGATAGTTAAGAAAATAGGGGGCACAAGCAGTGGGCCGAGGAATATCCCGTACAGTATCGAATCATTCGTCGATATTCAAGACAAGCCTCTCGTGATATGGTGCTCGGCAATCCCTTGCTTCACCTATAGTATATATCACACATGTCGAGCTCAACAAGCTGATACTCAACATGCTCATTATATATATATGTGTGTGTGCTCAGCATAGAGTCTTTTATATTATATATATATATATATAAAGGGCTGCATTATTAATGACAGGTCGTTGATAAGGATCAGGTTGGGACCCCACAATGAGGTTTATGAGGGGCCAGGCAATCCCTTGCTTTACCTATAGTATATATCACACATGCCGAGCTCATCAAGCTGATACTCAGCATGCTCATTTTATATATATATATATATATATATATATATATATATGTGTGTGTGTGTGTGTGTGTGTGTGTGTGTGTGTGTGCTCGGCATAGAGTCTTTTATATTATATATATAAAGGGCTGCATTATTAATGACAGGCTGTTGATAAGGATCAGGCTGGGACCCCACAATGAGGTTTATGAGAGGCCATTCGGTGTGTCAGAGTGGCCCATCAGCAAAAGGAAATTATGAGAGGCCATTCGGTGGAAAAGAATTAGGCCAAGACATAGACATGCAAGACAGAGACAAGACATGGGCTTATATATATCTATATATATAGGCAGGCTGAATTCCCAAGGACCATTTTTTTTATCGACCTCGACCCCAGTTCTTCTCGGTCTCGGCCCCAATTTCCCCTCGACCTCAGTTTTTCAACCGGTTTATGGCCTTGGTTTTATATGTGTGTGTGTGTGTGTGTATGATGCTGAGGAGTGGATGGTTGAATGACAAGCCGAACTTGGCCAAGGATTCAGAAAAGTGATTGCAACATCTTTGATGGACGATAGGTCGAGCTGCCAGGAGTGGTTTGTCTCGGCCCTTTTTTTTTTAAAAATTTTTCTCGACCTCGGCAGTCAAGAGCTGCGGCATGTTTTTATTGGCTACGAACAATTAATTTCCTTAACCTTCGGCTTACGAGCTGAAGCTCAAGGAAACTGGGGGGCAATGTTTGGACCCAAATTTACACCATCGGCCCGTTTAATCAAGGTCGTTGAGTAAACATAGTTCTCAACTGTCGAATGGAAAAGTGATGATATTTTTGTTAAAGGATAAAATTATGGTTCTTATCATAATAATCTTTTAATATGAATTATCTACATCTTCTTAAACCAAATAAATGGGATGCAAATCATAACCTCAACGTAGAAGCAAGCAGAACAGTCCGAGTTAATTTGGATTTGTTAGTAGTGTACTATGTGAATTAAAGCAGCTCGGCTTGGAGGCATAACATGGATCTGTGAGTTTTGGATAATGAAAACCTAAGAACGTTAGGTTGTTTGATGGATATTGTCAGACGGATAGGCTTTTGGATGGGTGATGGGTTGGTTTTTATTAGCTTTGAAAAGTCAACCATTTGAAGATAGGCCTTAAGCCTATGCCACGGATTAGTTTGAATTTTAGTTGGACTCCACAATTATCTAGTCGTGTCAAGCAAATATCAACCCTATAAATACAAGGTGTTGTGCAACGTAAAAAGGACCTCCAACACAACACACAAACTGCCATGCGCAAACCCTCGTTCTATGCAAAACCTCTCAAACGTCTTGAGATTTTTTATTTTATTTTTCACACACATCTTCAGTTTGGATAAACAGCACTGTGAAGACAACCGGCGAGCATCTTCAGTTTGGATAAACAATACTGTTGTCGTAGAATCAGCCGACCATGAAGCATCTTCAATTTGAATAAACAGCACTGCGACAGGGCCGACTGGTTATCTATCCAAGTCTCAGTCGAGAAGGATTTTCGAATCCTTATTGGCAGAGGTCATCTCATTAGCCTTCTCGGCAAAGTGAGGTGTTACAAGTTACTACAATCGGCACATTGAAAGTCGAATTTGATATTGAACTTTGCAGAACTAGCAGCCTTGTCGTCAGGCTCTAGAACTCGAAGGCCGAGAATGTTCCTTCCGGCTGCAGTCGCGAGATTCAGAAATCAGCACCGCACCCAACGCAACATCAACAAATTTTACTCGTCGGCCGAGCTCGGCTGACGAGTTGGCATGCCCCGCATACAACCGAAAGACGTAATTGGCTTACTAATTACTTGACCTACGCGTCACGTAGGCTTAGTAGTTTTTAGGATCTAACACATTCTTTACAAATGATAGAAGTGCATAATGTTTTTGCCTATACATAAACGGCAGCGGGTGTTGTATATATTGTTTTGTGCCTGGCTTTCAGCATCATCCTCAGAAACGCATACATACAAGTAAAATGATTGAGCTCTATCTATGGATTCCATATCTCCTTCAACCAACTCAGCTTCTGAATTTGATAGTTCACAGTATGTTCCTTCCATGTGTGATCATTGTCAAGATAGTTCTCATAAAAACTCAGCTCACCGTTTTGCCTTACTGTCACTGCAGAGCTGCTCCTGGTGCCATAGCGTCCCTGCACAATTGAAAGTTGACAGATATATAAGTTTCAATTCTTACAGGTAACTGGAATATGAATTCATTACTAATAGCGTTTACCAGTGGAGTGTCAACTTCAACAAATATGGAGCTTAGATTGAACTCCCAGTCAAGTTCACATATACGAGGTAATTCTCTCTCATCAGCTTTAACTCTGTCCCTCGTTAGCTTTTGAATCATTTCCTTCACGGGCATTTCACCTTCACCGTATTTCTTAATCTCTTCCTCGAAATTTAACCGCAAGCGCTGAGCCTGCAGGACATAAAGCCAGTAACCAGATACATGAGTGTTGGATCGATGACAGAAACAACCATGTAATTAACATAATGAGTAAGGTTGGTTCAATTCAAACCAACCTTGTGCCAGGGTGAGTCAAGCTTTGCATTTGATAGCACATGAATCCCTGGAGAAACTTCTTGAACAAGAATTGCTTCTCCTTTCGGCCTGTTGGAGAGGTAAATCATGGTTTTGGAAGGAATGTCTGCCAAAACCAAGTTAAACCCGTTATACCGATGCGCCTCCTTGGTCAATTCTTGTGCAAATTCCTTTGGAGTCTTGGTGCTCTGCCATTGATTTATTTGCACAACACATGAACAGAAACTAACACAAGAACAACAAATGGTAAAAAGTAGCAGGTAAAAAGAACGAAAACTGTACCTTTAAGAAGAGCACAGGTAGGTCTCCGCGGCTCTTTGCCTCCGGGTCGGTATCCAGCTCGAGTACATTTGATAGGAAAGCGAGTCTCCCTCCTCTTGAACAGGCCAACCATGTCCCTCCTGCAACCTCATCTCGCCCGCCTAGTATCTCGCAACCTTCCCACCATCTGACTGGTTTTGTAGGCCTTTATATACGTACAAATTAATACATACATATATGAAGATTAGATAATAAACAACCCCATTAACTTAATAAATCAAATAAAAGTAGCGTAATTGTGAATTAGATGGGTGACAGACTTGCCTGTTGTGATATTCATCTCTGTTTTGCAGGAGAAGGAAAGGGTAAAGAGGGTGGGCTTGCCAAAGGAACACTGCTATACACATAGTTCAATGAAACAGATTCTTCTTACTTTACATGTATAATATATATATATATATATATATGTATGTATGTATGTATGTATGTATGTATGTATATCCTGGGCTAGCTCTGGTTTTGTATAAAACAGGTGGCCAAGGAAAACCTATTAGGCTATTCACAATAGATTGGATTCGACGGGTGGCGTGTATCGATAAAATCTAATAATTTTAGCAACTTGATTATTTAGTCTACAGTCTAGTGTAGTAGTAAGGTTCCCTTCGAATAAATTAACTCTCAGTCACAAAAGTAGGTTATGAACAAAAGCAAACATTCGGTGTATCGTCTCGTTTTTCGGACATATTAAAAATATTTTTCTTTCTAAAATTGTTTTTCTTATTTTTCTATTGGCGAGTTATTTCCATTTCAATAACGCTTAAAAGATTACGTATTTATACCACACTTTAATAATGCAAAAACATGCCATAAGTGATGTAAACAATTTTTTTTTAATTTTAAATTTGTCTTGTAGTTAGAAATTGGAGTAGTGGAAATCAGAATAAATATGAAATGGCCTTTTGTCTCGTCTCGTATTTATTTATGTATTCAATTGAGATTTTGAAGAATTTTAATTCTTTTAATGAATTTAGGAGTATTTAATCAGAATTTTAAGTAATTCTTTGAAATTCATGATGTATTCAATTAAAATTTTAAGATAGTTTATTAAAATCCTTATAAATTTGGATGTATTCAATTAAAATTTTAAAAAAGTTTATAATATTCTAGGTGTATTCAATTAGAAATTGATTTTAAAGAATTTGAGAAAGTTGAAGAATTAAAGGGAATTTGAGAGATTTCGTAGTGTATTTTAAGTATCCACAAATCTCATATCTCCCTATGAGATATTGAGAGAAATGAATCAAAATTTTATATGGAATTTCTACGAATCAATTAAACTCCATAAAAATTTATGAATTTATAAATTCATTAAAATCTCTCAAATTCTCAATTAAATACACCCTAACTTCTTGCCACTTATCTTTTGTTTTGTATTAGTAAAATAGTCCTTATCCTTTAATCCATTGTATTTTGTCTTGTAATAGGATTAATTAGTGATCGGATTACCCACACGCAATTAATTAATTAATTGGGTAAGCACCAATTCCTCTGCCTATGTTTTGTTTGTTTCGTAATCAGAGCATTTAAAATAGCCTGTCGTGTCACTTGCAGGTTTCGGAGGCGCCGCTTCTTCCTCTAAGTATTGTGCTAATGTCTCATTTTCGTTTAAGGAGGCACCACTTCTTCCTCACCCTTATCGCTTACGGTCATTAATACATTGACGTGTGCAAATTTTCTTCGCGCGGTAATTTTTTTTAGAAAATGTTCAAACATATTTTCTCAAAAGTATGATTTTTTATAAATTTTTTATATTTCATGTTTAATGTTGGTACATAAATTGATATTGAACTGTGAGATGATAAAGAATTTATAAAAAAATCTTATTTTGAAAGAGTCTTCTTAAACGTTCTCATACATTATTAAATCAGAATTTCACATTTTGTGAACTCGTTCAATAGAAGTTTTTCTTCTCCTCTAGGTGCCACAATTTTGATTATATTGAATGAACACAAGCCTTTTCACATATATTAAGGAAAGCAACTTTGTAGTTTGTACTTTCTAATAATACATATAATCAACACTAAGAGATTGCAGATTAGGCTAAAGCTTCACAATGATTGGCCATAAATTGGTTCGAATTCACCTTTGGCCAGATTTCAACTTAAGATCTCTCACATACAATTATAATTTGTACTTGGATTGTCTTGCTAATTAGGGTTTTTATATAGACTCTCTGAGCTACTAGGTACAATTTGTAGGCAACCTACGCTGCATTCGATTTACCTATCAAAACTTTGCCCCTATAGGATGAGGCAAAGTAACTTTAGCAACAATTATTGTGAAAGGGAAAATGTGTAGGGCCTAATTTATCTCAATTGTTGAAAAAGGAGACATGTAGAATCAGTAATGAAAAAAAACACATAGTTATCCAACCGTTATCCGTTATACGTAATCTAAAATATGAATTAAAAGATAGTCTCTCTAGCGTAGTATTTTTCCAAAATACGGAAACTCAATATACCTCCAACATGAGAGTTCCACAAGTTCAAATCTTAGAAGAACAGCATAAAACATAGAACATCACTTGCACCACTGTTGAAACACTTTGCACTAATTTCTGCACATCCAGACAACTCTCATCATCCTTGTACAGCTTACAAATGGACCAGAAAATCTGCCTTCCTTGGCTTACCTACATCAGCAGGATCAAGTTTGTACTCGATCATCTTACATTCGGTCTTACGATCCACTTCACAATACTTCAGTTTCGTTTGACACTGACTTTCTTGCCCTCATAAAGGATGTCAAATTCTTTGCCATTAATCCAATGTCCCTTAACATTTTACCAATTCGAGTCTGATCCAGGCAGCCGTAGGTGACGAAATACCACGTACTATTTGCTTTAGGAATGCAGTACTCTATGCGTACGTATCTGATACAAAACAAACATTACTACTTCAATCTATAGAGGTCTGATGGTAGAACTGGGATCTCACTCTTGCACTTTACAATTCTGTATTGTTGGATTCAGTGGCGGTGGGTAAAACGTGAAGCTAACCAAGCAATTCACTGGTTCGTGTCCTGAGTAGATGCCGAGCAATTCACTGGTGGCTAGAACGGGTTCACTTAGCAGATGCCAAGCTCTCTGATTCGTGTTCTGAGTGCTAAAATATTTGGTCATTTTCGGATGCACTTCTGAGTGCTAAGTCATGAAGCAGAGGCTGGAAGTACTTTCCTATTTTCTCGCTTGGAAATAGATTATTGAATGGTATATTTCTTTCCGAGAGTCGAGAAGCAGAGATTGGGGGGTGTAGGGTTCGAATTTGTGTTTGCTGTATTTTTTTATTTATTTTGAACAAACGATATTATCTACACTAAGGGAGATGGGGGTGAGCTTAGCATCACAATGAGTTAACAATAAGGTGGTTCAAATTCATATTTTGTGAGAATCGAACCTAAGACATTTCACTTACAAGAGAAGATGAAGGTTTGCTGTATTTTGGATCCTGAAAATTAAAGGGTCAGTTATTGAAATTCAGACGGTCGTAAATCCAGAATATTAAGGATTTTAAAAGGTCTGTCATGATTTGTGTTGATCATTGTAAGTTTACGATTCTAGAATGCTATCGGGATGAGCTTAGGGTTTGAGGTGTAGGTGTCGGGTTTTGGGGTACTGTTGACCCTAAAAACTATCAAGCCTACGTGGCGCGCATGCCGAGTAATCTATAAGCTAACTACGTCATTCGGTGAATGCGGGGCGTGCCAACTCGTTGGCCGAGCTCGGCCGAGGAGTAAAATTTGTTGATGTTGCGTTGGGTGCGCGGTTGACTTCTGCGTCTTACGATTGTGACCGAGGAAGGAACACGTCTCGGCCTCTTGGGTTCTCGAACCTGAAGACAAGGCTACTATTCTTACGAAGTTCAATATCCAATTCGGCTTCCAATGTGCCGAATGTAGTAATTCGTAACACCTCACTTCGCCAAGAAGGCTGATGAGATGACCTCGACCAATAAGGATTCAGAAATCCTTCTCGACCGAGACTTGGATAGGTAATCAACTGTCCTCGCCGCAGTGCTGTTGATGCCAACGGAAGATGCTGCGAGACCGGTTGATTCTACGGTGACAGAGCTATCTATGCCGACTTAAGATATCACCGGTTGTTTTCACAATGTTGTTGATGCCAACGGAAGATGTGTCAGCGAAAAGAGAAAATAAAAAATCTCAAAGTTGTTGAGAGGGTTTGCGCAGGGCAGTTTTGTGTGTTCAATTGGAGGTCCTTGAAATGTTGCACGACATCTTGTATTTATAGGGACGAGTTAACTTGCCACGGCCCGAATGATAAGCAGAGGATTTCAATTGCACCTAAAAGACTTGTAATGGAATATTCTGAGAAATAAAACGATCACCACATAAGGACTCTGCATGCTAATCCTATTTTATTCCCACTTTGACTTAACTTTCTCCCATCACTGAATTTGTTGGATAGTCACACACGGCTCTTCTCACATCCAAAACAGTCACCTTGTTTTTCTCAATGCCTATACGCCCTACACGTTGCAGACACCTATCCAATTTACTACTAGAACTTATCCCACCTGCAAGTCACCTATGCCTGCATAAAGACCATGCATCCAACAACTCTAATCAAACCCCATGCTGATATATCCAGCCGCAACCATGCATGGAGGCCATATGACAAGATGGAATCCAACTACAATTTTGTTGGATAAAAATCTATTTGTTGATGTACTTAAATTCCAAGATAACTATTCTGATTGATAATATCTAGATATCGTTAATCAAAATAATTATCGTAGAAATAAAAACATCTTTATCCTAGGAACGATCCAAATATTTTATCCATCCAACGCCGAACTGATTTTGTAAAATCGGGTCCAAACAGATACACAATTCATCAACTAGACTCCATGCCCTAAGCGATTAATATAGTAAATTTTTTTATAAAAAAAACACCATGAATGTGTGTTGGTCACAATTCAGTGGGAAGGTTCGAGGATGCAACTTGATAAGCGGATTAGGAAACTTTTGATTGAGAAGACTGTCAACTCGCACCCACCAACTGCAGCCCAACTCGGCCAGGCTCAGGTTGCCTTATATTCGCCAAGCTGCTCTCCCATCGCTTGCTTAGGGCCACGAGACGTCATCTTCATCGGAGATAAAGATCCGTTTCACCTGCATCATACAATTAATTTTGTTCGATTCTCAACCACATAATTAAACTAACAAAAACCAGCCAACCAACTGTTGTTAGTTCCAACAATAGATAATAATTTATACTCACACGGATCTTCTTGTACATAGGTTGTAGTTTCATCATTCTCAGAAGTGGCCGCCTCTTCTTCTTGCGACGACCATATGTTGCTTCTGTTGCTTCTGTTCCTTCTGTTCCTTCCCCAAAGAGCGGAAATCTTGTTTAAAAAGACACAACAAGCAAACAACTAAATAAGGAATTAAGATTATATGTAATGTACTACAGCCTAGTGTGGTAGCATGTATAATTAATAGAGAACAAACCTATCCCACGGTGGAAGAATATCTTTCTTCCTGCAACTTACATCACCCCAATCTTCATACTTGTTCCAATCATCACGTCTGTAGAATGAAAGAATTCAGGTTTCACCACCGTTAATTTAAAATAGAAACCACGAGACAAATGAAAGCCAAAAGGGAAAGAAAATAAACAATGCAATCATGATTGCATCAAAGTTATACGGGGATCAAAAGAAAATTAGAGCGAGGCTAAACTTCACAGAACTAACCTCTCAGTCACAGCTAACATGTAATTTTGGGCGGGGATTTTATAAAATTCACGTTTTTGTTACCAGATAACATGTAATTTTGGGCGGGGATTTTATAAAATTCACGCTCATTTTATGTTTCTTAGTTTCCATTAGTTTATTATACTGTGAATTATAAAAATAATAACAATAGTCAAATATTTGATACCTTGGGATGCTTGCTTGATTGTTTTACAAACTATAATATATACAGGAAGCCTCTAAGGGAAGGGATCCCTATATTTTTTTTAATGAAAATGGAGATTAAGTATGGGGCCCACATTACATCGAACTTGAGAATTCGTAGTGTTTATTTTTCAAGTTGCACCTCATAGATCATCATTGCAAAATGTTAGCCAAATTGAAAATATTTGAGGCATATAATTGAGTTCAAAAAAATTAACAAACACTTTGTTCTCTAAGAAACATGTTTCTTAGAGATTTCATAGTAATAATTAAATAGATAAATAGTTTCGGATTGAATTGAATTTTTGCAAAGATGATCTATGAATTAAGACTTACTAAATAGACAATTCGAATCGTTCAAATTCGAGGTTGAGTAGGTCTCACAACTAATCCTATTTTCTGAATGATTGAATTCGTAGGTTCAAGGGACAAAAAAATAATTACTTACGTGGTAAGTAGCTGTAAGATGTCTGGATCATCATTGGAGTAGGCTCGGCAATGGTTCTGGATGAAGCTTGGACTTGGTTCCGAATCGATATAGAATGTTCCTTTTGCTTTGATATCAACACAGATGGATTGATTGGGAGGAAGACCTTCGATGCACAGTTGGAACACCACTACACGTGCCCAGGAGAGCTTGTGATGCCGCCGCTCCTTAAAAATGCCAGAACACACTATGGACATAAGACCGTCATCACCAAAATTGGTAATGGAGGGAGGGTAAGTGCTTGGGTAACGGAAAATGATCTTCTCAAGCTGAACCAGCTCTGCAACACGTCGGGGGTTTCCATTGGCCTCATCAAATCGGTACGCATACACGTGCCCATCTTCGACAGAAACTAGAAACTGCTTGAACTGTGCTGAACAAGGGACGGTAGCGTCCTGGATGTCCAATGCTTCTTCCCATTTCTCTTCATCGGTGTTGAAGATGTAGTTTTTGCCCGTAACGGGATCCTTAACAATGAGCTTCTGGCCCCAAGCGCCGTAGTGACTGATAAAAGGACAAGAGGAGTTGAGCGTACGACCAATGATGAATGGGGGATTTGGGAGGACTTTCCAATCATGAGATCCTGGATATAAGGCCTCAAAAAGGAGTGGAGGTTTTTTGTCCTTGATGCACCCATCATAGATGCGTGTGGAAAGGACGTAGATTTTACCGTCTATAGTGACGACACAAGGGTCAAGCTTGGGAGCAGACAAGTGGGGGAGTTTAGGAGGACGCACTCTCACAATCAAGGGTACATCAACAGCAAGGTTGGCCCTTTCTTTAACTAAATAATTGGGTAAATACTGACCCCCAACCACGTACGGCTCTGAATTCGCAATCATGTAACGAAATTCTTCAAACCGAACAACAAATTTACGACTGTAGGCAAGTTTAAACTCAGGCCTAGTATGCGACTTCTTAACGTCCTCATTAGAGTACCAATCCAACCATTTACTAACATCAAGAACGTAAAGATTTTTGCTCATGTTCAAATACAACAGCCAGTCCTTGTTCAACGTCATTATACTTGACAAATTCTCCCTTAACCTGCGGTGCTGGATCAATGAAAGAAAGACTCGTCAATTAAGCAAAAGTAGTCGGCAAGAAACATGAAGTAGTAGTAAAGCAGCCCGCACATAAGCACAACATACCTGCCTGCGGATGGCAAGAAAGAAAGCAAGACCGAGAGATTGGATTTGGATAGATGAGATGAGAGAGCGACCCAACTCATCTGACAGCGGAAACCCTAGAGAATGATTTCTCTTGTTTCACTCGCATCCCAATTTATTCCAAGGGCTAGACGGACAGTCATTTTGGGCCGTCTTGCGGTAAAAGTGAGCCCACCCCAATTTGTGGACTCCGTATTTTTTTTTCTTTATTATTAACTAGCATATGCCTCACGTTTTGTTTGTGAAAATAATTTTTTTTTAATTTTAAAAATGAAAAGGAAAAAGGGAGAAAAAAAATATGAATTCGAGAGAGAAGTATTTTATATATATATATATTTTTTTTCAAAATTATAGAATGTTATGGTCATCTTGAGTGAGGTTGTGAAAAAAGTGTAAAAGTTTAGTTTGAGTAAATTTATTTTACTGTCCATAATTTTGTTTTGAGAAATTTTATTTGAACTCATTTAACTTCTTTTTATATTCAACTTATTCTCTACACCCATATCCAATTCAAAATGTAAAGTCATCTTTACACCCATTAAAAAATATATTCTCAAATTGAATATTTTTGTTTTCAAAGAGACTCGAAAGTCAAAAAAAATTATGGTTCCTTTGTCCCTCTTCCCACCGTGATCTCTTCAACTAACTGGTCCCAATTCCAATCCATATCCAAATTCTTCAATTGTTTTCGTGGCAAGTGTCAATATATCTAACAAAGCCTTGAGTTTTAAACAACGATGCTCTTTGTATATATACTAGTGACTAGTAAGGCTGTTGTTATTAACATTGGAGAAAAAATAGTTGTTTAAAACTAACATTCATCTTCACAAATTACAGTTTTTTGTAATTTATACTTGTATTTTTCTAATCAAAGCCTTGAGTTTTGAATATAATTGAATCTTCTGAGGGTTAAAGTTTTTGTGAGCATATTCAAGCACAATAGCTATTATTTTGGGCATAAACCAAATTGTTTTGTCTGCAATCTAATTGATGTGGAACAAAAAATTTTCATAAGTCGAGTCATAACTTAGTTAGAGAATTGATTAAAACTTTATCACCATCTATCGATAAAAAAAACTTGTTTTTTCTCTATAAGAACTTATAGGGTTTTAGCCGAAATAAACGTGAGATAAATAAGGAGTGATGATAAGGTTTAATTATAGGATATGAGTTTATTGATAAATTTAAACTTTATTATTTATTTTATATTGTACTTGATGATAATTATGCAATAATAAAAAAGACAATTAATATTTAAAATTTAAATTGGGTTTAAAAAAAAGTTATATGAGTTTAAATAAAATTTATTTCTTCTTTTGATTGACAATTTTTTATTTATTATTAATGTGATTAAGATATAACGATACATTTGTGGAAAGTCTGGATAACATTTCCCCAAAAACAACCGATAAATAGTTTTTTCAAAAGGAATAAAGGTAAAAAAAAATTAATAAATAAAAATTATTTAAAATAATAAAGGAAAAGCATATTATTTGGAATTTAGAGAGAGAAAGAGAGAGTAATAGAAAGAGGGAGGATAGAATAGAAAGAGAGAGTAGGTGAAGGGGGCGAGGCGGAGGCATCAGAAAACAGAAACGCCGGCCGATGACGACGATGGATAATCCACCAACCAAAAAGAAGAAAGGTCGTCCTTCTCTCTTGGATCTCCAGAAACGCGCCCTCCTCCAACAACAGCAGCACGACCAATCCCCAAACCCTCGCCGTCCATCCACTCGCCGGAACCCTACTCCTCTCGGTTCATCCCCGCCGTCCAATTCCCTCTCCGATGCCGACGCCGACGATGAGCGGGCAAAGAAGAAGCATAAGCCCCTCCTCGCTTTTAATCCCAATTCGGCTCCGACATTGTCGCCCTTTAATTCGGGCCCCTTCGGCTGCGATTCGAACGCGGGTGGTGAGGATCCGGGGGCCGCTCTCAAGATCAGCACCATCCATCACGGATCTAATCATATGGTGATCATCACACTACAAATCATAAAACCCTTTTGCTTTTCTCAAAATTAAACACAAACCCATGTCCTTTTTGCACTTATTCTCTCTATTTTTGTTTAATTTCGCAAAAAGTAACGAAATATATATATATATTTTGCTTAATTTTGAAAAAGTAATGAAATTTATGTATTTTTGCTTTATTTCGGAATTAGAATCTTTTAGGGATTTTCGCGCGAAAAACAGAAGCTGTTTTTGGGGAGCTGGAATGGAGTAGTGGGGGGATGTGTTTGACTTGGACAGTATTTAATTTTTATTTATATATTTGGAATCTGGGTAGTTTTTCTTTATTTCCTAATTTAAATTCTTCATCTGGTTAAATTGTACTACAGAAAGACGCACACCATTTTGTCTGAAAAGCTTCACTTTGTCTTTTCTTGATTTATTTGTTCATTTACTTTTCCAATGATTGCAGAAAATTAAGTTATAAATTAAATATGATTTGTTTGTGTTAATGGTAATTTTAGCAGCGACATTGTTGTTAATGGTTTTATTGCATTGCAGAGCCAAGAAGAGATTTTGAAAGCGACAGACAGTAGTAGTATATTACATGGTATGACACTGTTAGTCAATCCCAATTCTTGCTCAAAAGCTCTCTCCCGGGTGTTAACTTCTAATGACTGTCAACTTTTACCTGTGGACAGGGTCGCAGGTTGAGTCCGGTCCCACGACACCTTTGCCAGACAAAAAGTTGTTGGTGTTCATCCTTGATAGGCTTCAAAAGTAAGTGTCTTAGGTTCCAGAGTTGTTTTGTCTGTTTATTGACTCTTTGAAATGACCATGGATGTTCACTCGTTGGTCTCAACTTTCTTGCAGAAAGGACACTCGCGGGGTGTTCTCCGAGCCTGTTGATCCAGAGGAGGTATGTTTTACTTATGTTGAAATAGCTTGTTGTGATGCTAATCTTAGCTTGTTTTACGAGTAATAATTTCGTGGTTTGATGTAAACATGTTGGTCTGTTCAGCTTCCTGATTATCACGAAATCATTCAAAACCCAATGGATTTTGGAACTGTGCGGACAAAACTAGATCAGGGAGCTTACTCCAGTTTGGAACAGTTTGAGGTTTGTATTACAATCTTTTTCTTGCTAGTTTTCAGTTTTGACACACACGGACTCACCCACCACAGTTGCATCAATGTCACCATCTACTTGCATCCGCTTCTCTTTCTCATCTCCTTTGCCTGCTCACTCTCCCCCCACCAGCTGTAGGAATAAATGAAGTGTTTAGGGATGGGTGTTTCCTAGATATGGTTTTTGTATGATTGATAAGGACATCAGGGATTATTGTCTTTTGGAAATTACGGAGATGTCAATTATTGTAATATAAGGCATGCTAATTCAAGTTGATTCTTTTGCTAGTTAAAGAAGACAAATGAATCCAGGACTGAGAACATAGTGCAATTTGTCATTCCATTCAGTATTCAAGTTATTAAGTTTGGTCTATTTTAAGAACCATTTATTTCTTTGGCGTCTTGATGTATCACGGGAATGTTAGAAATAGAGGAATGGTGTGATTCACCATGGATTCAATCTTATGAGAACTCTATTCTTGGTGCACTAAACTGCGATGGTATCTCAATGCTTATGACCGTGCTCTACTTCTGGTTTGATTTTCTTGTTAAATTAGTTGTTGTGACAGGTTTTTAAGTTTTAATGTTTAACTTCTGCAGAAAGATGTGTTCTTGATATGTTCAAATGCAATGGAGTATAATGCACCAGACACTATTTACTTTCGACAGGTTTGGCCCGTCCAACTTACACTTCTTCCTATTTAGGCAATCTGATCATGTTTGATGATTAACAAAGACAATTTCATTAGGCACGATCTATACAAGAGCTCGCAAAAAAGGACTTCGAAAATTTGAGGCAAGTGAACGAAGATGGTGATCCGAAACCAAAAATTGCAAGGAGAGGCAGGCCACCTGGCAAGAGCATGAAAAAGTCAATTGAAGGATCTCCTGTTGATCGTGTAGGTCCTCAAATTGTATCTGAAACTACTCTTGCTTCTGGAGGAGAAAATTCTAACTTATCCGGCACATATAATCTAAGACGGCCTGCTCCCCATAAGTTCAGGTCTTCTGATGCCTTAAATATGGCCCCCCATGGGTATCTTAGTGGTGAAACTGGTGCTAGTTGGTTGCCTGGTTGGGAGAATGAGTTTCCAGGTTTGTAATTTCTAGTGCGCCTGCTTCACTGATTTGTACCCCTTATTCAGTTCGGTTTTTTTTTTTTTTTTTTTTTTTGGACGAATTGCTTGATTTTATTTTGATTCTCTAGTTTATTGAACAAACGTTGAGCCTTTCCTATTTTTTTTTTCTTTGGGTTGCAGCTTCGGTATTGAGGAGTGATCTGAAGTATGGAAAGAAACATTTTACTGTAGATGAGAATAGACGTGACACTTATACACAAGCTCTGGCTTCGGGTGATGAACCATCTATCTTTTCTGGTTGTGAAGGAGAATGGAAGCAACTAGTGGCGGTATGTATAATGAGAACTTTCATGTATTCTTTTCTGAATGGGAGACTGGAATTGTTCAGTGATGTGCAAGATGATGGGTAAGGGGGTTGCTATTAGAAAATAATGAAGTGGATCTTCAATATGGAGATTATAGGAGTCTTCAAAAATCTATAAAATGACAGTAGATCTACTATACGTTTATTTGTCGGACTTGTATAAAAATATGATTCTTGTTTAACATGATTTCTTAGTGTTTGTTTTATTGTTTTTCCTCAATATATAAACCAGGTAGGTCTTCAATTTGAGCATGGATATGCAAGGAGTCTAGCTCGATTTGCTGCAAATCTTGGACCCATTGCTTGGAAGGTTGCTTCAAAGAAAATTGGAAGTGCTTTGCCTAGTGGAATCAAGTTTGGTCCGGGATGGATTGGAGAAAATGAGACATCAAGGTTGCCACAGTTTTCAATCTGTGAGAGGGAACAGAGGGTTCAAAGCAATCCTGCATCTGATGACCATTCAGACAGACTTCTACCTCAAAGTACATTATGCTCAAACTCTGTTGTTCCAAATAGATTTTCGCTACAAAGTGGTGTTAACGTAGAAAGTA